TCTGTGTTTGCCCCTGTCAAATAAATAAATAAAATCTTTAAAAAAAAAAAAGTTTCTCTCACCTGTAAGTTCTTCGAATGAGGCATAGGGCTTCAGCCGAAAGCGTTTGCGATACTCATTAAGAGACTGGTATTTCATCTGCCTGCTCTGGTCGATTGAGGCCTTTGCTACTTGTTGTACTGCAGCTGGAACATTCCTACCACCAGCAACCTGCGGAAAACACATGGTAGAACAAGATTTTTAGGCATCTTAATGATGATTTCTATTTTAAAAGAAAGCACTCACTCCCTGGGTACAGAGTAGCGAAGACTGATGTTCCCAGCTGAGACCTAAACTATCCCGGTTAGAAATATTACTCCTTATCGGTAAGTCTGAGAACAATCATTTCAATGGCGGAAATTCTAGTGACTGAGTAGTCCTTTGTTTTGTTTTCCAGTAACAAGGCTTACCCTGCCGGCAATCTGCCTGCTGAATGATTCCACAAACTGGGTAAGCCCATGTTCCAGCAATATAGAGTTGTTGTAGATAAACTGCTGGAAATTGTACTCCTGGTCATCTATTTGCAAGGTGTCAGGCAGAAGGGGATGCCAGTGGTAGAGTGTGTTAAACTCAGCAGCAATACGGTTTTGGTACTGGAACTGTTGGTTGAAAAGCAGCTCTGGGTCAAATTTCAGCTTGAAGTAATAGCCGCTCAAGTGCTGTACGTAGTCTTCAATCACAATCTTAATGGTTTCTCCTATTTACACAAAATAAAAAGAAAATTTAGAGCATTAATTCTCTGATTACCAACTTTCACGCAACCGAGATGCTGTGAATCCGCTCTTCCTTCACTTCTGTTTTTGTCCTTTGTACCATCAAAACAGAAGGTATTCGTATTTCCAGTCATGCTGAAGGATTGAACTGAATTAACATGGAGCATGTGATTTTACATTCACCACGTTCTCCCAGAACTACTTAAAACATATCGAAGATATCAAGTTAGTTTTCTCTGCAGCAGAAGAGGGTTTTATTTAAATTATCTTCTCTTCTTGCTTACCTATCAGTATAAGCCTGCTCGTCTGGAATAGCCGCTCATCATCCCACTCTGGATGCTCCTGTTTAAGCACATCACAGACTCTGTTGTGTTCCCGTAGCCAAATTGTGGCGTACATCATCAGACCAGGCACCAGCCCGAAGACTTCCTGGCCCACAGCAAACCGTAGGTGTTCAGGAATATGGGGTGGGTAGATCATCTCCACCTGAGTATCTTTGACTGTGGGAGGATACACCTCTCCATCAATTACCTGAAAAACAACAGTAATAAAAACGTTAAAATTTAATCAGTATAAGTTTTTAAAATGGGCAAGTCGTGAGTCATAACTAATTCTTAATATTCAAATAGAACAAACCTGATATTTCATTTTTCCATCCTTGAAAAGGCGCAGTTTATGCTGTCTATCCAAAGTTTCCCCATAAATATGGCTTAAGTCCACCTAGAATATTATGGGAAAATTTAATTTGTTGCTGTTGAAGTGTCTATAATTTATCATTAAATAAACATGTTTCTCACAGCCACAAAATACTAAATTTATTATCCACTGACACTACAAACCTATGTCTCTTGTGTATTTAGTATCTCATAGTGAAGTATAGTATATATTTAATGAAAAGGTATTTAGTATCTCATATGGAGTTGTAAGTATCTAATAGGCTTCACTATAACTGTATTTCTTTTAACAAGCATCAGAAAATATATTATTAATATAAAATTCTTACTGGCAAACTGAAACTGTCATTGAACTCCAAGGGATAATAATGCTGCAAAAATCTCATATTTCAAGTAGTATAATCAGGGTACAAGTGTTTTTGAAGACACCACTTTTTGCAGTGCTAGTATTTTAAACTAAAAGGTAAGAGCCAAATTACAAATATTATGTCTGTGTGTATACACATGTGTATTTTTACTAAACCAGTGAATCAAAAATGGAAATTCCATTAAGGTTTTTATAGACAGAGCATTTTTAAAAAAGAGGGTGAATCTGGTATAGCAAACACACACACACACACACACACACAGAGCACTCAGTTATGATTTTTGCTATAATTTCAGTTTAACTCTGTCTTACCCCATGGCCCAGTCCTTTGGTGAAAGCTGGCCCTCGCTTATGATCTGTCTTGAAAAACTGATGGGTGAAGTGCTGGGCAAAGAATGCAAACATCATATTTGTGCCCTGGGGATCAGGAATGAACTTTCTTCTTAGAAGAAATTTTTCCACAATCTCTTTTGAATCGGGAAGCTCTTTCTTGCCTGAAAAATGAGAAAGCTTAAGACAAGAATTCATTTACAAATTCAAGGAAGCAGCTATTTCCTATGGGGCCTTCTTCACTTACAGGAGAAATACAAGTGTGAACAGGATTATAATATAAATGGAAGTTCTAAGAAATGGGGAAACACCTTCTTACTGAATAACTTTACCTATTTTGTTTAACTAGTATTAATTTGGTTTTAATGACAGAATTTGAAAGTGAAGACATTATACCAAAATGTCCATTCACTTTCATGGAATAGTTTACAAAGATTCACTTTCAAAAAAAAATCTCCACAGATAATCCTTAAGAAAGCCAATAATATGCTTTTATTAACAAATAAATGATAGTAAAGTTCAGGGCTGAATTTTCTAGGTAGCAATCCAATCCCTACTGCAGTTAATACCGCTCTGCCTCCCGACACTCACCTTTCACACCCATGGGTGTTGGACAGTCATCAGCCACAGGGGGAAGAGCTCTGGTATAATAGGAGAGATTAGAAAAGGCTTCCCAGCTTTTATAGCCATAGTCTACATTGTAAGTTGGTGGACTCTCAATCAAATGTGACCTGGCTGAAATTTAAAGAAAAAAAAAAACTTTGTTTTATTTGTGCCCACATCAATGTTCCTTTTTATTGTAAAATGTGCAAAGTGCCACGAAAGACTGAATACCAGCAAAGATAACCTATTGTAAAACAGTTACACTTCAAAGTCTGCCACTTCTACTAAAAAAAAAAATCAGAATGATTCACTAAAATGCATCTTTAATAAAGTATATATACTTTTACATAAAACATGATCTAGCCATCTTGATTTTTCAAATAATCATCCACCTACCGCTTAAGAGGCCTATGAAGGAATGTCTGGGCAAGATACTTGCTTTAGTAACAAAGTTATTTTCTTGCTGACCCAAATCCAGATTAACCAGATTATTTTACTGGGTGCAATTCTGTGGTCCATGGACATTCAGTAAACTGGACCACACTTCCTTCACAGATTGGCAAGAGCAGTGAATTTAGAAGAGGTGCACAGGATTTAAGTAGAATTCTGACTGTGAGACAGAACTTTACAAACTTAACGGGACTGAGATGTATTTTGGGCCATTAAGACAGAAGGCAAACTAAAAAGATCTGTTTAAAGTAAGTCATTTTGACAAGGTTGAAAAGAGATTTCGGGATTAGGTTTAATAATGTCAAGTTTTATAAAGAACATTTTTCTTTGAGGAAACTGAAAACCTTGAAAGAGACTTGTACTTACATGTCAACACGTATTTCATAATTACATTTCGCAGGAAGGGAATGTTATTGACAATGTTCCAGACTCCCTTGAAGTGGGTAAGTATGTAGTGCACTGTATTTGGAGTGGGTTTCAGGAATAATTTTATTCTTGTCAGAAATTCAGCTGCAAAGAGAAAAAAAAAAAAGAGGGAAAGATTAACAGGACCCATTCTAAGACACTAGAGTGTAAAGTGATACTCCATGTATCCCCAGTCCAAATAAGGGCACCCAAGGGCAAACTTACGTGTTGAACAGTTTTCGCCATAGAATCCTGTTCGAGTGCAGTCACACCTATACTGGTCAAATCCTATGCTCATACATACACCTTGGTTTTGACATGGGTTGGAACAGCAAGGATTTGCTACAATAAAAATAGACAAAGGAAGTCATTCTTTACTTCCTTAATCTTGATTTAAATTGCTTTACATAGTATGGGTCAACTTTACGTAAATAAATTCAAGAAATATACAGGTAGTCATGGGAAAACAATTTCTTTAACCTGTGGCACAGAATGATTATAATGAATAAAATACCCGAAGTCGGTAACAATATTCAACCAGGGAAGTGATGTTGCTCAGTTTTTTCTTTAGTAACTTTTTAGATGTTCAAATTAGCATTTTTAAAGAGCTCAAAGAAGTAGCATTTTCATAACTAAAGTGGACGTATCTAGTACATTAATCAAATTTAGGGGAAATTTCAGTGTAAAAACAGATCATTGTTAAAATATTTTGCTTATCTTAAATAACCTGGGCTTTCCTGGGTCAGAAAAGCACTAATTTTAAAACAATGACTCCCATTCCCTAACAGTGGGCACCACACACAAACATTTCACATATATTGATCGATCCTGTCTTATCATAATAACAATCTGCAAATTATACACTGTTCCTATTTAGCAGATGAGAAAAGTGAGACCCACACCGGTTAAGTAACTGGCTCAGGATGATCAGAGCTGGTGGCAAAGCTGGGGTATTCACCCCGTTCTTTTGGACTCAAAATGGTCCAAGCTCTCTACCCAGTCAAACATCGTCTCCTTTCCGGGACTGTTCAAAGTACCGGGAGGATCCGGGAGGTCAGAGCGGAACCTCGGCGGGGATTACGGAACGGTGGAGTCCCCGCTGCGGGGCGCCAGGTACTCACCTGCACGGCAGAGCGCCAGGGCGGCGCAGAGCAGCAGGGCGCGGGCAAGCATCTCGGCGGCGGGAGGAGCGGGGGCGGGCGGAGGCGTTGCGGTACTTGGGCTCCGGGTTGCGGGGCTGGAGCAGGCGCTGTGCGAAGTCCCCGAGCGTAATCCTGACGCTCGCTCCAAGTTGTTTGACAACTGGAAGCTAACGGAGAGAACCTTCCTTTTATGCGTGAAAACTAAGCCCACGTGACAGCATGACTGTTTCTTTCCGCCTTTTTTTACCCACTCCCCCCACAACTCTCCCCCTCCCCCTGTCTACTTAAATAATTGCGTAAGACCCGGGTGGGGGCCGAATTTTTTACCCACGCAAATGAGAAAATCGGAAACATGGGAAGCTGCCCTCGGATTCCCCAAGGCGGGTGCAAAGCGAATTGCCCCCCTCCCCGCTGCGATCTCCTGGTTCTCCCCCAGTTCCTCAGCTCCAGAGTGCGATTTGCGCCAGATTCCCTTTTTCCCAGTCTTTGACCCGGAGCTTTCGAGAGACGGTGCCTCGGCGGATCCCACTGCGGGGAGGGACAATACTACGCTGCTTCTCCCGGAATCCGAGCGGCCCGAGGTCCCAGAGCGCAGGGAATCTCCCTGCGCGGCCGTCCGCATGTCTCATCCCCAGGTCTTTGGGGGGCCGAGGAGTCACAGTCTGGACAGACTGGGCCAAGAAAGACTGTTTTACACGTCATGTATTTCAAACATGTCATGATTTTAGTGACGATCCATGACCTAGTGTGTATGCAGCACATACATACATTTTTTTTTTATTTGGCCGAATGAACTATAATAGCTATCGTCGGTGTACATATCTGTAAAATGTGAATTCCTCTCCACAATAGCTCCTTACCAGTTATCCTGTAAATAGTCCATCTGAGGCTTGAACTACCACCATTATAACGTTTCCTCTCCTCTGATGAACAAGGGAAGGGAAAGGGCCCAGGATCTTTCTGGGATGCTAAATGTTCAAAACATCTGCTTTAATGCATTTCTTTCTCTGCTGTGCGGTTTTTACTTTGGTCACCAGCCCTTCACAGGAGATACACAAAGAAGACACTAGGTTTTTAAAGTTTCGGTGTTTTTTTTTTTATATCTTTTCTGCCCGCTTTTCCAAGATGATGAATATGGCAATGGATCAAACTACAACATTGCATTTACTTTTTAATTGTCCAGGCTTAATAGTGCAAATTTTCTATTTTCATTTTGGAACATAGTTTGATGAGGAATTGAGTGGAATGGATGGAAAAGATGGATGAGTTTGACAATTTTGAATTTCATCGTCCTTTGCCTTTATTTAGTATCTTTCGATGGTGTGAGGGTGAAATTCAAAAAAAAAAGAAAGAGAAAGAGAGAAGAAAGAAAGAAGAAAGAAAAGAAAGAAAGAAAGAAAGAAAGAAAGAAAGAAAGAAGAAAGTTACCAGCATCAAAGTGGAGAATAAAAAGTAATTAAGCCATAAATTCTTAGTTCTAATGGAAAAACTACACCAGATACCTCAATCTGTAGAAGTCTTAAAGAAAAAAAAAAAAAAGACTCACTTGGAATTTTTTTTTCTTACCATTTGCTTAGGGAACACATTATCTGATTTTACATGAGACACAAATGACTAAAATTCCATCTCATCCAAGAAGCCTTCCTCTTCCTCTAGTCATATTTAATCATTCAATTTGTGACACTCCCATTTATTGTGCTAAGTCTTACATGAAATTTTAATTAAGAGCCTAATTTTTTTGTAATAATTCAATTTTCTGTTAAATGAGTAAGTTGTATCTACTCAAGTTTTAAAGTGATATTTAGGACCATGCATTTGAGTTTTTTAGGTGTCATGTAAGATTCCATACTCTGACTCTGGTACTGCACTCAAATTCTACATTGCAATCCTGAATTCATGTTGAAGTCATCATCATCGATATCCTTGTTATCAAGTCTTAATTGTATACTTACTGTGTACCATTTCTTGTTCGCAGACAGACTGAATTCAAAGGTGAGGACAAAACAGTGTGTAGAGAATAATCACATTTAGACTACTTGGAATGTAAAGAAATTGAACTCTCTCTCATAGTGAAAATTCAATGAAAAAAATCTATTTAGCTAACCTACTTGGTTAAACCTATAATTTCAATGACATGGTAGAGTGGAGAGACTTCCATGTACTTACGCAGTCAGAAAAGAGTTCAAAGAGAAAATGACACTTTAAGGATGGGCACAGTTTAGAAAGGAAGTCCAAATATGGGCTTTAGGAAAAACCATTATGATATGACTTATTAAATAATTTTGACAAGTCTGAGACCATGAAATACGATGGATAGTACATTTGGGGATGCTGGTCATGAGGAGATATTAAATGTCCCAAACCAAATCCAAAGGGCTAAACCTGTTTTATGTGGGAAAGTACCAGGATTATTGTGCCTTGATACATCACACCATAAAAAATAAGGTTTTGATTATGTAAAATCATAGCTCTCACTTTTATATACATTTAGTGTTTCTGTGTATATTTTAGACAAATATATATATCTATGGTACAGTCTTTTTTTTTAATTAGTCTCTAAAATGTGTTGGGAAATTCTCTGTATGAAGGAAAAATAAGAAAGCATATTAAAAATCTACCAGAGCATTCTGTTGAGTTTTACTGCCCCCTTCTGCTGCTTTAATTTCTATCAACTTCTTTTTCTTTATTATGCTGTGAGGATTGCTAGGTAGATTTTGGGTCTGAGGTTATAATGTTCACAAAAGTCTACATGTGCAGAGCTCATTTTAGATTAACTCATGAATATACTGAAAAGGAATGAAATATTAATTGAAGTGATAAGCCATTTATATGAGTTAAAAGAAAATAAAAAATAAAGACTCTTAATACCCCAAATTCCAAATGAGCTAACATTTTTTTTTTTAGATTTTATTTATTCATTAGAGAGAGAGAGACCATGGCGGGGGGGTGGGGGGCGCATACAGAGGGAGAGGGAGAAGCAGACTCCTGGCTGAGCAGGGAGCCAGCTGTGTGGGGGGCTTAGATCCCAGACCCTGGGATCATGACCTAAGCTAAAGGCAGACGCTTAACCGACAGAACCACCCAGGCGCACCCCCAATGAGCTAACATTTTTGAGAGAGACATTTCTTATTGTTGAGCAGGGTTCCACCACTCAGACATGCAAGAATTCTCTGATCCACTATCTCAGGCATGGAGCCTCTTCCCATTTCCCTCCCTTCTGCTTTGGTTGATTTAGTGATTCATTCAGAGGGAGTGGAGATTGCCCCATGTCTTTTCATTCATGGCATGTTGGCTAGAAGAGTTTTGCCATCCTGCAGCAGGGTTATTCTTAGGAGATATTTTAGCAAAGTTATGCCACAGAGTATATCTGTACCTTGAAAGACAGAAATGCTACTTACAAAAGGCCTCTAGTTTAGCCTTTAGTAAATCCTGGTTGTGCACCCATTCCTGGCTATATAAGATAGACGTTTCAAAAGCTCTAAAACAATTTTTTTAATTAAAAAAAATTCTTGTCACATAAACCAATGAGGAAATACCAGATAATATCCATTTCTGAGTTCTATTTAAAAAAAAAAGTTGGTCTCCTTTATTTTTGTCAAATAACTCAAGTCCCTGATAGATTTTTTTTTCTTTACTTTTCATGGTTGCATACCATTAAGTACTCAGACGAGCCAAGGTAGACTGAACACAGTCCTTGTGTTAGAGTTAGAAATCTCAAAGGAGACTAAGGAAGTGCAGGGGAGTGTGAGCAGGGTGAACAAGGGTGGGCACTGTGAGAACACACTCACCAATTAAATAGCAGGATTAGGACTTCTAGTCTCTGTTACAGAGGAGAGCTGGAAGGAGCTTCAAAGTTGCCACTTCATCCTAACAACAAATCAAATCCTAAACAAACAGAAAGCTCAGTACTTTTCTTTGATCTCTTAAAGCAGTGAGGTGACAAGGATAAAATGCTGCCCCCAACATTTGAGAGATAGTCCATACAGAGAAGCACAACTTAACAGAGCAGAAACTCATAGGCAGAAACCTCCATGGAAACCAGTACCAGGATTGGAAAACTCAAGGTATAATTGACAAATTCTGGGTGCTCAATGTGGATAAGTCTGAGAGTTAAAAACTCCAGGAGAAGGGGACCCATGCTTTTGTGTTTCACTTCCTGAAGCTCTACCAGGTTCCCACAGTGACTATCAGAAGAAAAAAAAAAGCCAGAAAACAAAAAACGAAGACATTGAGAACCCTTGAGAGATTGATAGGGAAAGAGGAAAAGTAACCATTCTGAAATATGCCAGAGCATTCTGTTCTTTTCAATAAGGCCTGCATTGGAGAGAAACTATTTCATCAGAGCCAGAGCCTAAACTATTGGGATTGTATCAGAGTGGAACTAAGCTGGGGGAAAAGAAATACCCACCTCCAGCTGCCTCTAACCTTCCACCCATCCAATTACTCAACTCCAGCCCTCGGGCCATCCGTCCCACCTAAGATGTGGCATTGGGGGCCTGAAAAACACTTGTGACATTTACAGATGAAGGGCATAGATTCACTAAAATACTGAGCCCTAATCATGGGACTATAGACCCCTTCTCCTCACCTCACACCTCACCACCACATTGCTAAGGTCCAATTTACCAGGGTTCCTTTCACCCCACACACCATGTCCAGCTCTCAACAAAAAATTACAAGGCATGCTGAAAGGCAAAAAACACAGTTTGAAGAGGCAGAACAAGCATCTGAACCAGACTCAGATGGAATAGAGATGTTGGAAGTAACAAATTATTAATTTGAACAACTATGATGAACATGCAAAGGTTGCTCATTAAAAAAAAAGTAGATAATATGCAGAAACAGACAATATAAGCAGAGAGAAATAAATTCCAAAAAGAATCAAAAAGAAATGCTAGAGATCAAAAAACACTGCAACAGAAATGAAGAATGCCTTTGATGGGCTTATTAGTAGGCTGGGCATGGCTGAGCAAAGAATCTCTGAGCTTTAGGATATGTCACAGAAGTTCTCAAAATTGAAAAGCAAGGAGAAAAAATACTGGAAAAAAAAAAAACAACAGAATATCCAAGAACTGTGAGACAACTGCAAAAATGTAACATATGCATAATGGGAATATTTTCCTGAAATTAATGTCAGACGCCAAGCCACAGAGCCAGGAAACTCAGAGAAC